CACAATAACTCTGACCTCAAAGATATCAGTTATAAATTAAAATAATCCAAATATTTTGCCATCTCATGTATGTCTGTACAGTGCAATGAGGTCCAACTCAACACCACCACAAACTGCAATCTCAAACATGACGGTAGAATGTATCACAGTATTAGTTATATTATTAGTTTACTGAAAAAAAAAAAATGTTAGTAAAGATAACTAGATTAGTCATCAAGCATCCATTATATACTTATTATAAATATAATATCTGTTAGTTACATAATATTAATTACTAGTTTGCACTCTACAGTTTATAATTTGTGCTCCAAACAAAATCAATTAATTACAACCACAGAAAAAAAACAAGATTATTCCTATTTAAAATTAGGAATAGTTGATCCAAATGACTCGTGATGCATACTGTTCTACTGGACTTGTTCTTAAAGTAACAGTGTGTAGGATTGTGTTTAGTGGCATCTAGTGGTGAGGACTGTAAATTGCAACCCGCTGAAACTTTTCCCAAGTGCCAAGCATGAACTCCCAGCTCAGATTACTTCAGTGTTCATTGTTCAGAAGGTTTTTACCAGGAGTCAAATTACCTTCAGAGGTCTCTTCCCCCAAGACAAAGTGCCCAAGTGATTTAAACCGGTAAAAACAATGAATAAAGCAGTTTCACAATCAGTGCTTCCCTGATGCTGTTCAGCATGTCGGAGGTGGGCTGTTAGCCTAGCACCTGCTAATGTATGCTCATTATTTTTCTCTGACAATTTAAGATCTAGACGTTTTCGAGGTTTTAACCTGGTGCCAAATTATCCACAAAGGTTTTGTCCTACCAACACAAATGGAGTTAAATCAGTTAAAATACTGAATAAAGCAGTTTCACGTTGAAAGTCAGTCCTTTGCAAACACAGTTCGGCTCGCTGCAAAGGGGGTGCTAAAAATGGGAATGGTCCTATCTGAAGCCAGCGTTTGGTTTGTCCACGCTGGGCTACTGTAGAAACATGTCAGACTCCATGGACGAGGACCCACTCCCTGTATAGATATAAACGGCTCATTCTAAGGTCACAAAAACATGATGATTGTTATTTTTTTGTGTAATTTTACACTAGAGAAACATTGTATTATATTCCATTCCTGCCAATACTGTATATCCTCCATATCCTACACACTGAACCTTTAAGCCCTTTAAAGTTGTTGGTATTTGCTTTAAGTAATTCGGCTGTATATTAAAGTATTAACATATTCAATGTCAACAATCTCATCTGCTACTCACAGATTCTACAGAGTCTGTCAGTATTTGTCACCTCCTCACTAACCTCCTAAATCAGACAGTTTACTCCCAGAAATAAAAAACAGTCGAAACTACAATTTAACTGTGCATCCTGATGTCAAAAGACCTGTTAGTCAACAGCTCAACGTAAACAGACACAATAACATGTTTGTGGATGCACGTAGTATGTTCTCATGTCATGTTATTACAGGGACAAGTTGGAGTAATGTCATGTGCAATTGCTCCTATCAGTCTGCACGGGTTTGTCTACAGTTTACAGAAAAAGTTAAAATTTAGCATTGTTTAACTGTTTCAGTGTCAGCTTATCATGGCTTAAATGTTAAAGACAAAACATGTAAATAACTCTGGTAGTCAGTACTGTAGAGGTCTGAGACGTTTAGTTCTGCTTACAGTATGTCAAAAGTAATTTAAATGTGAATTTATAAAAGAAACTATTTGATATATTTTGGTTTAGTTTGCCTTTGTTGTATTCCATAACCAGCTTAATATGCAACCAGACCTCTATTTGATCCAAACATTTGTTTGTACTTATCAATAGTAGTATTGAAATATGTTTACATATCAGCAGAAAATATTCTTTATCCATAATTTATATTTAATACAAGTATTTACTAAGCCCTGATAAGCTGGCAGGTGCATTTATTAGTCCACCTAAAAGATTTGTACAAAAGAGAACCAAGCAAAAAAGTTACAGTACTTGTAAATACATTTAAATGTATATACACACACTATATCGCAATTCTCTGAGTAACTGTTTTATATGTATTCCTATATGAAGTGGGGTTATCTGTGTATTTTCAATTCAGCTCAACTTGTTCTTGAATTGTATGTAATTTCTATAATGAGAATATATTGTCTGAAAGGTGTAAAGTAATTTTCTTTTGGATTCATTTCATAGGTACAAGTATACTATTATGACTTTTTTCTTCATTCATGAATTCTTTTTGTTGTCGATATGTGACATATAAGTAATCTCTGATTGTTTTGAGTGTCAGAATAAAGCAGTTATAAGAACATTATGTCTGCCTTCACACATGGATGTTGTTGATGCTGTTGTTGTAAGAGTTTTCCATCATAATCTGATTTTGGGTTTGTTTTTTTGTTGTTGTTTTTTTGTATGTGTGCACCTTATTTGCATTTACTCCCTTAGCCCTAGTGGTGTCGAGCCATACAGATGGTTGCAAATATATTTCTACAGTGGCCAAGAGAGCACAACCTGATATGACTCAAAGGGGCAGTTCACCCCAAAATCAAAAATACTTATATTTTCTAATACCTGTGGTGCAATTTATCATTTAGACTGTTTTGGTGTGAGTTGCAGAGTGTCAGCGATATTGGCCTCCTCTCTGATGTAATGGAACTAGATGGCACTCAGCTTGAGGTGCTCAAAGCGCCAATAAATATAGATTACACACTCAACAGCAACATCTCTTTCCAGATTTTCCAGAACTACACCAGCTAACTGTGTCACTGCGCAGAGGGAAGTGTGCATCTACTGCTAGCTCACCTAGCACCACTTAGCTACGTTACAGCTTAGCTGAGGAGGGCTCCATTAGTGTTTACATCTCATGCTGTCACAAGCACAAGCCTCTTATTCATGAGTAGATGCACGCTTCCTTCTGCGCAGTGATACGATCGGCAGGTGTAGTTTAGTAGGGAAAAAAAAGTGCCTATATGAAATTGCTCACAAGGTCTTTGGATTTTTTTGAGTAACCAGATAGTGATTTCTGTAAAGGGACATTGCTGTTGAGTTTTTCAAATGTATTTCTGAGGCACTTTGAGCGCCATCAGCTGAGTGCCATCAAGTTCCATTGGATTATATTGGAGTCAAAATGGACATCTCTACAGCTGATATCTCCCACGCTCTGCGACTCGCACCAAAGGAAAAAATGTGGATTTTTGGGATGAACTATCCCTTTAAGAAAACAAACAAAGAAAACAAATTTTTCACTTGGACAAGTCATACTCGCAAATCAAGAAATGTTCACCAATTTGACAACACCTGCACAAAGAAACTTGCTCCAAATAAATAAAGTTGAGGCAATCTCGGAACCCATTGGCTATCTATTGAAAACGATAAAGACGAGGGCCAATATTTCAGGCTGGTCCAGTGTCGCCAGCGGATATCAGGCTGGGCCTTTCTCCTCCTTGCTACAGTCAATTCAGCTAATGTCTATAAACAGATATCTGCATATGAATGCATTCCACACGGACTGTTTACCTGTTGTTCTAACATGATTGGTCGATACTACTCGGACTACAAACAGACTACAAATGTAAACCAGAACACTTCCAATACCAAAGTTTTGTCCCGTCGCCTATACAATATGCACACATATACAGGTATCCATTTATAGAGAATAAAGTTGAGGTAACCGGTCCTAGCAAGTCACAGCCTCTTGTTGACTGAAACTGAAATTAATGAGATGGTTACGTCACTCAAAACTATTTAATTAGATACTGAAATCCAAACAGACAATAGCTAACGTGAACACAATGTCAATAACAAAGTGGAAACAAAATGGCAGTCGTCATATTATCAGGTTGAAGTTGCAGTGAGTTGAACTCTCTCAGCCATCACATTTTAACAAAAAGACAAAACGTTACTAAGTGGGTCAGTTTCAAAATGTGAATGCAGAGAGCACCACAAACTGAATTCCATTCATCTCCATTGTATTGGGGATGACTGAGAGATCTGTATCTCAAAACCTACAACAATCTGCCTGTATGACTTGGTCTAAGTGAAGAAATGCATCGTTTTCTATCCTGGGTGAACCGAGCCTTTAATGGGCTCCAGTTTTAATTCCTGCAGAGACTTGTTTTAACAAACTATGACTGAAAGGAGCACATGCTCTAATACCTGAACTAACCCTTCCCTGAATCCTTCACGTCCGTGGGTGATTAATATATTTGTCTCTGCAGCCCTTCCAGTTCTAGGCTGCCTGTCAGTGAGGACTATATGTAGCTCCGGTGCTATTGTGCTTCCTCCCTGCTGAGCTATAAGACTGCGTGTGGATATTTTTGTATAGCTGTCCCTAGCGAGCGCTCAGTAAATCTGAGGTATAGGATAGATAGGGGAGGTGGTGAGGCTCAGGCCAGTTTCTCATTGAGACAGATACAAGGGGAGACAGGGTGGACGCTGATTGAGCACGCCACTTGTTTGACTGTTTGTCTCTCTGGATCGGGGGGGTGGTTAATGCACTACAAAGGCATTTCTAAATTAAAGCCTCGTCTTCTTTCATTTCTTTATTTATTTCTTTGTCAGAAGCTCCGCGGAGCTGCCGGAGATCACTCCGAATTAGCGAGCATCTGTCATGACGAGGGTCCTGGGACACTCGCCTTGCCTGCCCCCAACACCCACGCACCCCACCCCCCTCCTCTGCTTCCATCTAGCCCCATTACACTGAGATTTTCACTTTGCACTGCCAAACTGCCGATCTCCACTTGTATGATTACAGAGCACTCTGATCTTTATTCTGGGGAGAGCGGCAGCACTAGTTTTGGCAGGCAGAAGGCCTCTGCTCCCGCTGCTTTTATGTGACATTACAAGAACGGGATGAAAAGTGAATGAAGCTGTTGTCTCTCTGCTCTCAAACTTTCTGCAGTTGAGTTTTAAACGTTGTTTCCTTTCGGCTGTTCTGACTCTGTTGGTGTGTCTCAACCTTACATTGTGAACATTCCCTCCTTGTACATTACATAGATGGGAAAAATGTTGAGGCAGGAGGGCTTTGCAGAAGGCGTGTTGTTTATTCCATACATTATCCCATATGTTTACTTGTATTTTATTTTTCAAAGAGCTATTTCCTAGCCTTTACTTTCTCTTACAATATCCTCACTCCTAAAAAGTTGTTCAGAAAGGAATAAACTTGCTGCTCCACACTGACTTTTAATAAGACCTCTCATTATAAATGCCTCTCATAACATCCCATTCTGCATATTTACCAGTCTCCCCACTTTTCTCCCCCTGTTTCCAGTAAATACAAAAGGAAGAGCTGTACTCAGTATTGATGGACATCACAGATGAAAACAACGAGGAGAGGAGAACTAGCTTTAAGAAAATAACATAAGAAGAAGAAGACGAGAAGGAGTCCCTCTACTGAGGCTGGCGAGGGAAGACGGGAGGCGTACAAAGTGGCGCCGCGGCAGCGGTGTCAAACCAGCCACAAACTTGACAGACGGAGTGAGCCAGTTTCCACCAGGGACCACCTTTTTGCCGGGTAGAAAAAAGACAGAGAGAGAATGAAAAGTGTCCCGTTATTATAAAACATTTTATTTTTCTATACTTTTGTGATTTACAATGGTAAAAAGTGTGTATAAAGCAGTATATATGTACAAATCTGTTTTTATGTTTTTTGGTAAGGGAGATGAACAGTTGGCCCTTGATGCTGATTCTGTGGTATGCAGGAAGGAGGAGGGAGGAGCCCCCCCTCCTCTCTCTATGGCACACTGCTCTGTCGCCGAGGTCGTGTAAACAAAAACATAAACAGAAAGGTGGCAGGGAGAGCTCGGCATCCAGGCAGAAGCACTTTCTACGCTGTACTTCCTGTGGGTGGAGTCAAAGGTCAGCCTCCTGGTCTCACTGCTCCGCCTTCTTCCTTCCAACCCCACCCCCCAGACCTCCTTCCTTACTTCTTCCCTAACTTTTCGAGCTGGTGATGTCGATCCTTCCTCCTTGTTGCGGTGTCACTGGCCGACAGCGCCTACTGTTAGCAGCGTCCCCCGTGGATACTGTCGTGATGTCACTTTCTCCTGGCAGCACCATTGGGCATCCCCGTCCTCCCCAATGGGCAGCGTCACTGGTTTACAGCGTTGGGGAGTGGGGGGGTGAGCCACGGCGGGACGGTGAGACGGTATAAAGCCGAGCCTCCCCGGTCTGCCCCTCTCCACGCCCCAGCAGAGGTCAATGACTGAGGACTAGTTCGAGAAAAAAAACGCAGAAGTCGCCGACTTTACTCACCTGCCAGACTCCGAGCCCAAGCCTTTGTGTCACTCTGCACCGACGGACAAACTATCAGACCAACAATGATAAGGTGCGTACAACTACCAAGGATGCACGTTTCCACCTGACGAGAATAACTCATCATTGTCCATGTAACAAATTGAATTATAATCGAATAATCCCATTGTACTACATCAGCAGGTGCATAACCAAAACACAAGCCTGAGGCATATAGACTATGTCGCTAGATAAAACATTATAGAAATACAGTAGTGCCCATCCAACGGTAACAAGGAACGAGGGCTGAATTGTCAATTTTATTTTTATTTTTTTTTTTTTTTTTTTTTTTTGGGTCAATGTATTCTGAGAATATTTATTTGTGTGTTTATTTTGTTTGTTTGTTTTTTTTGCAGCACTGAAAAACTTTTAAAGAGGAAAAAAGATTTAATTTGGTGGAAAAACGAAAACCTTAATTCTTTATATCAGAAGAGTCACTGTAAACGTGTTTAAACAAGAATGTTGGTTCAGTTTTTTGAATGTACATTAATGTCTAGGGTGTCCAATAAGTATGTATTCTTTTTCTGTATATAAATATATATACATATCTATTATATGGGCTGTGGTGATGTCAGGGAGTAGAGGGGGTGGGCAGGAAAGCCTCTGGCCCCCGAACATAGATACCAGACCCCCTCCAACTAAATATGTCCCTGATATTTACTGTAACATGTGATCATGTGTTATATGATTGAAAGTGTGATGGTGATAGTGTGAACTGATCTCCCCCGAATCCCCCCTTTACCACACAAACAAACACAAACACACACACCCTGTGCAGATACTCACAGATTGACGACACATGCAGTACTACACACAATACTACATTTTGCCCCATTGAATGCAAAACATCACATCCTACTTTTACCCGACAGACACTTCAGGAAAAGAATCACATCTGCAGTAATTTCAGCCCTTCATTGGAGCTGGGAAGACTTGCTAATTAGCGTAAGGTGTTGTGGGTGTCAGATAAAAAAGTTTATGAATATTGATTTTTCTTTTCTTACTTGAACCAAAGTATGATTTGAACACACAGTCTCAGTGCTCTTTGATCAGGAGACAGCGAGACTCTGTGATGACAGCGGAGCCCGGATGTGTATTGACGTGACCCAGATTTCATTCGCTCATCACTGCTGAGGAAGAGCTCGCTCTTCTGCTAATATAAGGAGCCCGCTGATCAAGCGCAGCTCGCAGCTTCCTGCAGCAGCCTCGGTTTATGAACTGCTGTTCTCATGCTGACCCTGGTGGGCAGGCGCTTTTATTGCATATTGGAAATAACCTGCTGGCCCTGAAAAGAAACTTTTTCTTTCTTTTTTTCTTTTTCTTATATTTTTTATCAGAGGCGAGCAGGTTCGGGTGAAGCACAACTTTGTTTGAGAGTTCAGGGTACACTACTTAGTTGGTAGTGGTTTTCTGTGAATTGTTCCAAGAAGGTAACACTAGGTTAAGCTCCTGACTTCCTGTACAAAACTACAGTATGTACTGTTAATATCCTGTACAGTAAATCTCACCTCACACTTCTTGATTAACTTCATCTTATTTCAGGTTAAAAAAAGAAACTTGTTCTGAATCAGGGCTCCTACCCACGCGACCTCTGTTCATCTGTAGACAGCTTCTCATATATTACAAAGAGTATCTATATCATGGCAACTAACTGTTGTGAAGTCTAATTGGGGTAAAGTCGGTCATTTGTTCTCCCATGCAGCGATCATATGCAGGCTTAGCATTTTTATACCTGTAGGTTTGTTTCTGAGAGTCACATGATTCATCTGGCCTACTTACAGCGCTACAGACTTGTGGTGGGTCAGAGACGACTCGGGAGCAGGTTGGAGTTTTACTTTGACGGGAACTTCCTGGGAGGCAAAAATCAGCTTAATGGTGGAGTTAACTGACAGAGATAAAGAACCAAAGCTTTCATTTTCTATTTTTGGCTTACTAGCATTACAGTTGGTCACGTGATCTGATTTTTTGTCCACTGAATGATCTATGCACTTTGCAACAAAAACAGATATGATGTCACATGTTAATACACCACTGTTATCTATTACTCTAGGATGTTAATAGAAAATAATATCTTAGGCGATGGCACTATATTTTCATTGTCAACAAAACCCATGAAAACACCTAAACCAGCAATGTGTCAGTCTGTCTCTCAGTACTTGCTGACTTCCTGTCTCTGGCGCTCAGCTCTGCAGTTGTGGAGCAGTTGTTATGGGGACAAAAAAAGAAAAGGAAAAAAAAAGAAAAGAGCGTTAGCTCCTGTTCTAGTAGCTTTCATTGCATTACTGTATGAAATAAAGATAACTCAATTATTGTGTTAGCATTCAACAACTACAGCTCCCATGAGGCTTACACCCCTTGCTCCCACCACTTAGCCTTTACTCCTCCATATTGCATGTTCAGGTGTAAGGGCAGGTCTCCCGACTGTTGATGGAATGGAGAAGGGCGAAGTGTTGGGGCAACATGGCCCTCCAAATGGATGTTTTTCAGAGGCAAACGCCAAACTGAGTGTTGTGAGAAATCATCAGCAAGATGGCTGTCGGAACAAAAGAAACCTACAACTGTATTTTCTTCAGTAGTAAAGATTTAAATATCACAATAACAATCATATTATTTAAGCTTAATGTTGGTGCTTCTTTTAATAACAAGCATAACAAAAAAAGTAGTGTGGTCGCTAACTAACTAGCTAGCTAACGTTACATTGTTATTACTGATTTGTGCATGACAGTCCCACATGTTGACATATTCCCGTGTCACATTCCACCCTCCTTTTGATGGCATATTGTGTACAAAATGTAACTTATGTCCAGCGGCAATGTTGCTCCAGTTGTTACTGATTTTTTTTGTGAGCAATTTATAGCAGAAAACTGAAGTTGTATACGAATCACAAGCGTCCATGCTTTTGTCTCCATCACATAGCAAATGTCATTGTAATAATACCATTATTGCCATAGTCGCGTCTACTCACACAAGTGCCATCGATGACAACTCACGACGAATCACGGTCTTAGAGGGTTGTCCCTTTCGATGAGGAAGATTTCAACCACTACCCCTTGTGACTCTGTTCTGAAGGGGCAAAGTGGAGGGGTAGAAGTAAAATATGGGATTGGGCCTTTGATAGTGTTTCTCTGACCTCATGGGAGTTGTAGTTGAATGCTGACAAAATAATCTTTAAGATCACACCAGAGATTTCATTGCCTTAGAATTTTCTGTGGGTTTGTGACAATGTGCAATCTGTTTCACATCATATTTTGATCCGTCTTCAATATGAAAAAAAGATATTTACTAGTGGGATATTATTGTATCTAATCAAACTATTTAGTCTGGCTGGTCTTCCATGTTAGTAGCCGTATTTATTAAATCAGTGGTCAGGTATGGATTTTATTTTTAGATGTATTTTTTTTCCTCTCTTACTGAACTGTGGTTGTTTGTCTCTGCTTGTTGAAACACATTTTTAACTTAACTAGTGAGTTTATTTCTGCGTCCAGAGAAGTTCTGCCTTTACAAACATGTTGGTTTCTCTAAAGCTCCAGCCTGCACCTCAGCGGGGGGCGGGGTTAAAGTGACCCTCCCTTCCTTCCTTGCTTCCTTCCTCCCTTCCTTCCTTCCTTCCTTCCCTCCTTCAGATGCCTTCTGTATAATGACCTGGTCCTGATCTTCCTGAGCACAACTGCTTGAGCTGTGACACTTGCAGGATGTCCCCTCTTAGCCTCCCCCCCGCCTCCCCCTGACCCCGGCAGACCCGCCCCATGCGACACCCTCCTCCCACCACCCCTAGCCTTCTAGTATGTGAGTCGACTGGCCCCTTTTGTATTCCTGGTGTTCTGTACATAATAACCCTCACCCCTCCTTACCTGTCCCCTCCTCCCCCAGCTGTCCTTTCAGGGGGGAAAAGAAAAAAAAAAAAAGACGACTACATCCTCTGACTCCCCGAAATCTTGTATTTTGTTCTAATAATGACAAAATTTATTTATAAGGATTTTTTAAAATCTATCTCTTTCTCCTTTTTGTAAATGTTCCAGTTAAATAAAGTTTAAAAATGTTAAAAAATTAAATGGATATATTGAAAGGTTAAAAAAAATGTCTCTAGAAGTCCCTGCCCCCTCCTCTGGCTCTGTACTCTGAACTTTGTGTTTTTGTTTTTTCTCTTTCTGTATGCTTCTCTTTATGTGCTTCAGATGAAGAGTTCTATTTATTATGACATTAACGTTAT